TGGGAAGTATGACTTTGAGGCATTGCCATATGAAAAATTTGAGCTTAGGCGGGACTTGGATATTCCAAGTCTTTTTCCAAATGGGAATTTCGAGCAATCCATTGATGGCCAATCTGTTCTAGTATCAAATTGTTGGATGATTGCATTAATTAGGGCATTGAGAGCATATTTATTTGTGGAAGCCCTTTGAATACGCCCCATTATGCTGGCGAAAGCAGCAACCTTGAAAGGCTCTCTTTATTAGAGTTTTAAAACACTCTAGCTCGTCATTAAGGAGATGATTTAAAAGCACAATTAAGGCTTTCCGGCGCTAGCCGTTCCTGGCCATAAAGCCTTGTAACCGACTTGAGAAAAAGTGGTTACCAAATCCAATAATTATTGTATTAAATGAGCATAAAGCTTTGTAACCGATTTGAGAAAAAAAAAGGTTACTAAACCCAATAATTATTGTATTAAATGAGTTTTGCAGGAGTTGGCGGTTACCGGGACAGAGGATGGAATCCGGCGAGCCTCCAGTGAGCGATCAAAGACACTTGATGATTGGCGGTGAAAGGGACTTGCGAAAATTTACAAGAAAAGATGGTAAGAACACAAAATGGGGGAAGCTCCGGGGCTCTGCTCAAGAAACCAATTGCAGTCAACATAAATGGCGGAAGGAATACCGCTCGAGATGGAGCCAATGTGAGAAATGCAATTCGTTCAATCGTGCATTCTACATACTAATTTGGAAAAATCAATCATAATCACGGAGCAAGGCTAAGCCGGTAGCTTACCCTTCTACGACGTTGTGTTAGGGGATTTGTGTGACAATTGCGGCCTCGCCGGGGACCTCGACCAAGGCGCCGGAATCGGAAGCGAACAGTCTCGACAAGGATGAAAGAGTATGTCGACTGAATCGGGCTAGGGTTGAAGCGCGTCGTTGGTCTCCGTGATTCCCCCTATTGTATTGTACAACATAGAGCTAGTCTGCAAGAACTAAGCAGACAAGTTGCCAAACCTCTATCTGCACTTTAGTCTTTTTGTAATGTGCCACTTGTCATGGAATAGTTGATGCGTAGATAAATTAGGTACAAATTGTCCTATCTCAATGCAATCCTTCTTGGGAGTACTTTCTACAACTTTGGTTAGAAATGTAGAATGACTCTAGAATGACTGTAGAATGACCCTAAAGTTGAGTGATTTTTGAATACATGCCAGTTATTCGAAAAAACAAAAACAATTTTTTTTTGCCACATTACCGTTACCACATAGACTAAGAGCTTTTGATTCAATAAAATTTGAAACCTACCTTATTAATAATCATATTACAGTCGACCCAAATCAAACCTATTTCTCGCTTCACTAATCCAATCTCATTTGTCCCTTTCTCCTCTCCGATGAACGCAAGTATGGTGTTCCTTCTACATGAGATTTGGTAAAAAGATGGTGATCCCTTTTCCTAGTTCCCTCAGATATATCAACGAGGGGTTAACCTGCGTTGTTGGAGCGTGAGACAGAAATGGTGTCAACGGTCCGAGAGCTTCAATTAGCTTGCTAAATGTGGCGTTGGCGCCTGATTGATGCACGGATCGACAACACTGACAGTTGACCACTTCTTTTGTGAATGATGTGCTAGCAAGGACAATAATCTCCTGGTTATCCAAAGTGCAACCGCATTTGGCTTCTACCTGAGATTTGTCGTATATCTTTGATTTGGAATGCCATTGTTTTTTTATTTTATTTAGAGACAATGAAGTAGCAGACAAAGGAACAACGAAATAGCCAGAGAGATGGGTTGGGTTTGGGCGGGTTGTTGTTTCATTTGTTAGGATTTGGTGTTAATAAGGTCGGTTTAAAATTTTTATTGATTAAACATCTCTCCGTCAAAAATAACTTTTTATTTCTATCGTTAGTCAACTTAACAAAATTTTGAGTGGATATACTAATATTTAACTTAAGTGGTACAAGACGGTTAATTGAACTTTAGTGGTATATGTCATCCAACTCTCATACTTTAGTGGTACCCAATGTATTTTATCCTCTTCCTTCAACATCCTTGACATTCTCCTCTGAGTTTCTATTGTGACGGAAAGAGGGTGGTCCGTTGATTCGAGTCCAATTGTACACATTTTGCCCCTCATTTATTGATAGTTTGACTTTACATTTCATCGTTCCTCGACATATTTCACGCTAGGTTGTGCTTGTTTTGATACATTTCAGGCTCTAGCACGTGTGGAAGGGTCGAGGATGAGTTTTGGGATAATTGGAGGTCAAAAAGTGCAAAAACAAACGAAAAAAAGTCCAACCGTGACAATTGCCCCGTAACAGTGAAGCGCGGGCGTTCAGGAAGCAGCCGCAGTTCACGGCTGGCATTGGAGTTCACGGTCTCCCAAGACCGTAAAATGGAACCACAAATCGTGAACAACGAGGTGTCCAGCAAGGTTCCAGAGGTTACTGACGACCAGGTAGTTCACGGTCTCTAAGACCGTGAACTTTGAGTGCAAACCGTGAACCCTGGAGAGTGAAGCAGTGCATTTTGGAGACGACACTGAGTTCATGGACGCGCTAAGGTGTTCACGGCCGTGAACAGAGGCCGTGAACTGGGCTCGACCTGGGTATAAAAACAGCATTAGAAGGAAGAAGAAGGGGGAGCTGGTTTTTGGAGAAGGAACACTTTCTTTCTCTAGGGTTACAACCCAAAACACCAAATGGGAGTTCTAGTGTGTGTGTGTGAGAGAGAGAGAGAGAGAGAGAGAGAGAGAGAGAGAGAGAGAGATAGTGATTTTGGAGTTTAATTGAAGGCATTGATCAAGCTTGGAAGCTAGGAATCAACCCTAGAAGAAGAAGATGAAGATCTAGAGGTTTCTTTGTAAACTCTCATCTCTTTCTCTAGAAACTCACCCTCTTCTCTTGGGTTTAAGAACCCTAGGTCTAGCTTTGGGTTTAATGTTGATGTATGTGATGAACTCCATGATTGATTGATGATTTTACTTAATTGATGTATGTTTTCATGAATGGCATGAGTTGGGTTTCCATTTTCATGATTGAGCTTTTGACCTAGGAGGGAGATAATCCCCTTAGATCCCCTTTTGGCGTCTTCGGGTCACTCCTATCGTATATTGTCCAGGTAGTCCCCGAGGAAGTTGATTCGACCGATCTCCTAGCATTCTACGAAACCCTAGGTTGAATAGAGCACTACCCATCCGTCGATTCGCCATTCTGGGTCATTCCCGAGGGAGTCCATCTCCAAACGATAGTGTATTTGAGTCGATCGAGCTAGGAGGATACCCAATATCGATCCAAAGTACGGACCTAGGACGATTCAACCCAAGAGAACTCCCAACCTTGTAAATATCTAGGTTAGTGGGTTGTCTAGGTTAGTTAGTTTAATTATATCAATCACTATCTTAGGTTGGCTAGATAACAAACTCTAAACCTGAAGTAGAGTAAGCCTAGATCCCCGTGGTACGATAAATCTTTATTGCTTGCTTGCCCTATGCTACACCCGATCGACAGTTATACTTCGCTGTCGATTGGGATGTTGTAGTTAGAGTGAGTCATCCGTCCAAAATACTTGTGGCAGAGTAGCAAGTGTCTCTTTCCTCCCCGTGGTTAAGCCCATTTTTCTTGCTTTTCTTCTTTAGCGAATGCCTGGAATTGCTCAACTTCTTGATTACATTCTTCTTCAAACTCCCCATCCTAGTCTTCATATCTTCCTTAGAATTCTCTAAATGTGATCACCTTTCTCTCCTCCCATCGTTCCTTGACTGCCCATCGGAGCTTGCCAGAAACCCCTAGCAGTTTCACATTCCAAAAAAAAAAAAAAAAAAAATCCACAAAATATGAATCTAAACGATAATTTGGTTGTCGCATTGGAAATTAACCCAATCCGACACAATAAAGGCAACTATTCTATACTACAGAAATATTATATAACTAATTAAAATTTTAACAAATAAATCGAGGAGAAAAGTAACAATATACATAAATGTTGTTCGAATTTTATTTTATGAAATGTAATTTACTTCAACATATGTCTAGTTTTTTTCATAAATATTTGTCGAAATAAGCTAAAGTGGTTATAAGCTAACACATTCATAATATATTGTTCTTCTAAAATTGTACAAAAGAAAAAAGATTACATGAATCATAGTTATATTAAATCTACGTCTAAATATTAATATTAAGTTGAAAAATGTAATAGGCCAGGGGAACCACAATAGAAAAATATGTCAAGATAGCTTAATTTTCTCACAAATATGTTTTGGTACGAACACTTATGACAATAGTTCAACACGAGTTGAGTTAGGTTCTACGGGTTACTTTACCCAAAATCTGCATCCAACCCAACAGAGGCGAGTTGTAAAAAAAAACTCTCACATAAACTTAAACTTTATTTTTAACGATAAATAAATATGTGTTGGATCGGTTGGACTGGTGAATCGATTTGCAGGTTGTTTTGTTCACCCCTATCGGTAACCCCACCTACCATTTCATTCTAGCAGTCCACCTCTACAGGCTAACATAGGAAGTGGGCATAATATTATGGCTGATACCACTAGGAAACCAGAACTATTAAGAATGTGCCATTTGTGTCCTATAGTATCTAATATGACATTTGTGTCCCAACCTATTATAGTTTTGTGTCATTTATGTCCCAACGTATTATAGTTTGTCATTTATGTCCTAACCCGAACTATTAAGAATGTGTCATTTGTTAAATACTAACGGTCAGCGACAGTCAACTCTAACGGAAAAATAGTTTATGACACAAATGTCATATTGGATACTTTAGTACACAAATGACACATTCTTAATAGTTCGGGTTTCCTAATTATATTATCCCTAATATTATTGATAAATGATAACTGGTCAGCTTATTCACTCAAATAGTAGATAGGAAACCCCAAATATGGTTAACTCGAAATTTACCAAAAGTCACTGCACTCTAAAATTTTTATGGAATGGAAGATGAGTTATTTTAAGATTTTGTGGATGTGTAATTTTTTTGAAAATTGATTCCCAGACGAAAGTTGGATTTTGTTTATATTTGGATACAATAGAGTAGCTGTTCTAGATTTGGATTCCAAACCATCATAAATCTTGAATTTTCCAAAACCTCCATTTTTCAAATCCATCAAACAAACACCTCCTAACCCTTACCCATAAATCTTAGTAACTGATGATGTTGCAAATATAAATAACATAGAGTATCTGCGGATCCTACAGCACGGCCAGTACTCCTTCATAACTAGCTTCACGGCTCTTCTAAGGGACATGATGCCAACAACAATTTCATGTCAAGCTAGCTACAACAATTGGATTGGTCAGAAAGGCAAATAATGGTACAAGAGCTCAGATCAAAATAATAAGAAAGATGAGACATTAGATGAGAGCAACACAAGATTCAGCTCCCTATGGAAATCAGCTTCTTCTCCCTATAGTCACAAGAGCCCATTTTAGCACCTACAGAAGATTCAAATTGGCACTTCGCAGCAGAAAAGAGCAAGCAGTTGGAGAAAGAGCAAATAGCCTTCGTACACTGTTCATGTGAAAGAGCAATTAGTCTCTGCTTTGTTACCATCCGCCAGAGAGAGAGAGCAATTAGTCTCTGCTTTGCCACCATCCACCAGAGAGAAACTAATTAGTTCCATCAGCGAAACTCCATGATCGGAGTGACACAGAAAGTAATCAGGGCTTCCATAATTTCATGGTGCAGTCATCGCTGTAAGTAGCAATAAGATTCCTGTGGGGGTGGTGTGTCACACCAATCACTTCCTTCTCGTGAACCTAGCCAGTCAAAAGACAATGCATGCACCCAAAACAGTTGAGAAAATTTACAGAGATTCGTACGGAAACAGTTAAGAGAGCCAGCTTTTCGGACAAAAGGCCATTAGAAACCCATTATGTGTGGGAAATGAGTAGACAATTGACTAGAGGTGGAATGTGTGTTGTGTTCATGAGTTCACGGGTTGGGTCAAAATGGGTTCAAGTGTTTTTTCGGTCGGATTTATAAGTTGGGTACTGACTACTGAGCTGTACAAGGGCAGAGGTGGATGTTTATATCACGAGGATGAGTATCATAATGTACAATTCCTTATCATAATTGAATAGGCACAATGAAAGTTGGATTTAATTTCTGGACTATTTTGGAAGACTTTGAAGTTTAGGCACTAAAACCTATGGCTAAAAATCAAGGTACTAATTTTGGGATCAAAACATCAACCCATCCCTTTAATCCACTAGCCCAATGCATCTAGGCCAAATAGGGTTGAGTTAGGGTGCTAAGTGGCTCAGGTTGGGTTGGTATTTGCCACCTCTAGATTGGCTCTTCCAATTATACCTCTAGTTTGTTTAATATCCAGGAATTGGAAACTGACCTTCATTAGATGCTCTAGTTTACCCGATTGGTAGCTGAAGCAATACATATTCCTGCATTAACAAAATTGGCACAACTTCATCAATTAAGAACAGCAACAATCAGACATAGTCCACAACTCCAAGAAATCATATATCTGCTAGTTGTTTGTCAGTGCCAGCCACCAAGGTCTAAGGTATAAACCAAGGTGGTTAGAAGTGACGAGACGTAGATTAAGCAAACCCCATTTTCCTTACCGGGACATTTTTTTTAGATTCAAACCACAGCAAGAGCTACAGAACCATGAGGTGGTCAAGCAATTACCTATCCTCACCAACACAGTAGATCCAATCCCCTTTAGGTGATACACAGGCCGCTACAAAATCTCCACCTTCTCTTTTACCGGATGAGAGACTCTTCACAACCTATCATGGAAGAAACATTTCAAGTCAAAAACATATTTCCTTCTTGGTTACTGGTTGAAGAAGAAAGCTTTGTTGTCACCTGCCCTTGTAGTGTCATTATACATATTGATGACGTTTTGTTACATACAACAATGTGATCAGTGTTTTTGGGGAAGAGATGGACAGAGTTGACAGATGCATCACCCCCCTACAGTCCAGCAGAAAATATCAGTTATTCAAGGATGGGAAAGAGGAGAAGCTAAAGAACAAGACTTGAGAATGCATATTGTAACAGTAAGCAATACCCTCAATGGTGGTGGGGGCCTAAATGTGTGTATACACTCTGCACCCTTTACATCCCAAACCTACAAACAGGTAAAAATTTGTCATGCAGCCAAAACAATAGCAAAAAATAAGAATCGGAAAAAATGTCACAAATACATACCTTGACTGTACAATCACTAGAAGCAGTAATGACACGCGTCCCATCACTCGTGAAGATGGCATGATTTACAAAAGAAGAATGGCCGCGGAACTCTTTTAACATTTTCCCAGATTTTAGACCATGAATCCTGCATTAAACACAATGTAAAGAACCATAAGAATCTCAACGAAAGGAAATTTGGTTGAGTAATAAATTACATTATATGAAGAATATTATCGTAGTTCCATGAACCTGGCTGTGTTATCAAAGGAGGTACTCAGCAGCTGACTACCATCACGTGAAAATGTCAAACTCGTGACACCCTGAGAGTGTGCACGTTCAAGGCGACGTAAGCACTGGCCTGTCCTTATACGCCAAACCTGCGAGTTTAGCAAAATTTATACAAGTAGAAGACTGTGATTGGCTAATCAAGAACACGGTTGTCATCACTCATCAAGTAATTCAGCCCAAGACATTCATACTAAAAAAGAAGTCATGAAAAGTATGTGTGTGCTCACAGAAAGCAGTAGCATATTCAAAGACTCATAGAAATTTTACATAACACTGACGGAATAGATAAACTGAATATTTTCTCAATACTCAATAGTAGTAACCCATGAAATTTATAATCATTCAAGAACCAGCATAAATGCCTGAAACTTACTTTGACCTTTCCATCTTGTGAACCAGAAGCAAGCATCTCAGAATCACGGCTAAAATCAACACAGAGGACAGGGTCATCATGCATCATAAAGGTTTCCTGTAAAAAAATTATGTTCATAAGTAACTGCAAGATGTTCAAAGTAATTATTCTTGTGCAATTTTTTAAATTTGTCCTAAAATGTACCTAGGGAGCACAGTACATACAGCAACACATCAGAATATTCTATACTTGGTATTTTCACCGCCTATATTGATGCAGCTGTTGCTGTTAAAAATAACTCAGGCCATAGCAAGCCAAACATAAATCTACAAGATATCCAAGGAACATACACAGAACAAACAGAAGATTCACAAAGAACAAAAAGAAGGATAAACACAACAATCCATATATATATACAAGGGAGAAGAAGAGTCAGCACAAAAATTCATACGCAGTCACCCAGACTGACAAGAAACAGAGCTTCTTTTAAGGGAATTTATGAATCAATCAACATGAACTAGATAAACAAGACTACAAGAGACTCGTTTTTCTTCTACAAAAGATAATTTTAGAATTGTAATCAAAGGACAATGGCCAGGGAACTCACATCAGCCTGATATTGAAGATCCTTCTTGAGCTTTCCGCTCATATAGTCCCACACCTTATGAAACCAGGAGAAAAGGTTTTGGAGAAGAAAAAAAAATGTCAATGTCTTGCATCCTTCATCCTCCTCAGTATGGTTGCTCGAACAACAAAAGAACCTACCTCGATAAAGCCATCAACGGAGCATGAGACAAGGAACTGGCCATCAGGTGAAAACCGAGCACATTCTGCATGACTTTTTGTTCCAAACTGCAGCATACGACTAGAGATGTAAGAAAACTTGAATTATGAAGTAGTAAATAACAGAGAGAAGTAATAACACTAAATATGACAAAACTTTCACTGCCAGGAAGAATTGACCTTTTACAAAAAGATCTTTAGCAAAAGTATATCAAAGGTTTTTCACTAGCCTGTCAAAGTTGGCTGTTACTGCTAAAAATAATTCGGAATACTGTCCAAATCAACCATTGTTTTAACACAAGGAAAATACAAATTTAAGAACCGGGGAATATCTTTCAGCATGACTAACGTAGACAACAGGTTATGTGTTCTTAGTTATGCTTGGATAATCACAAAACTGGATTGCATGCAACACTAAGGAATACAGTTCATGTAACAGTGTCTCTTCCCAGGAGAGAAACTGTATACTAAGATAAATAAGTAGCCATATAGCTGAATGAAGACAAATGCACAAATCAATGGCATGCACAACAACCTTAATAGTGTGTGAAAGTGTTGTTGGATAGATGTCGTCTACGTCTTGCTTCATAGCAGCAGTACCTCGAAATAGGTCAAACTGTGTCCCAGGTGGAAGTAACCCTGAAAACATTAAGTAAAAGCATTCCAAAAGAATTAACCGCCCAGACAAAATGACAACTTATGTCCATGCAATTGCTGAATTTTATGAATCAATGTCTAGTAGAAAAAGCTATTTCCAAATTTTTCCCAAACCATACGAATTATCACATCATCAGAATCAGCATGTATCATACCAGAGGAAAAGGTAGAATAAATGATTATGCATCAACCAAGTATATGTAGAACCACATAGATTGTATCGGTGTAGTGAACTACCACTCTCCAAAGGCATTTATTATGTGATTTCCATATGCAGAGAGATACCTTGGTGCTGTTGCCACTTTAGTGCCTGCCCAATTAGAGCCATTAATCTTGAAGGTGGAACCACACTAACTTCGGCAGCAAGCGCTAAAGGAAAAAGGTATTAACAGGACTGTAAGCATTACGAGTAAAAAAATCAACGGAGAAACCCAAGGCATGTAACTGAGTAGGCTTCAAAGAAAAAACAATACTAGGAGGAGATCAACTGTATAATTTACTAGCCCTAACGAAAATTTGAGTAGGTCGCATGACACCAAAAGGAACTAATTCCAACACATCAACAAGTAAACATACTGAATCATATATGTTTGTCTTAAGAACTCTTCTTCCAACAAATTCCATAGGTCTTTTATCTTAGACCACACAGTAAACTGAAGTTTTTGCGTACACAAGCAGGGAAACAGATAAGCTTCACCATTGAAGACCAGGTCCCACTCATCATATTACACAAAAACAAGAAAATTGAGAACATCCCCCAATTATGTTGAAATCTGTGTTGAACGAAAATGAGAAATACCTTGGGCAATTTGTGCACGGCGCTTCTCTTTTGTTGAATCTTGGTAAGCCTGTCATCTTGCAAATAGGTACTAAGTCTTAGCAAAAGGACTACCCTGGTTCACAGAGTTCAAAATGCACAGAGAGCTAAAACCCAGAAATTACACAAGGAACCAGTGTCAGGGCTCCATTATAGAAGGGAATCGCCATATAGGTTGTACGAGTTAAAAGGGGTGGGAAGAAGTGGAAGGAAGAGAACAGCTTGGAACAAATGCATTCTGACCTCATTAGGATCAAAGTAAGTTCTGACAAGGAGATGCTCAAGTCGCAAATATCTTTCAGGTTGTTCCTGTTTCATGACTCCCATGACCTGAGTTTGCCTTAATATGGCCCTTGCAGTGTCCAACTCTCGAAGCTCTATCATTTCTAACACAATCTGCGAGGTTAAACAGATCATAAACCATCTATGAAAAGGAACAAACTTTGATGCATTGATGCAAGCATCAAATACAAATTCATATAAAAATAGTCAAATGCCAATCGACCAAGAAAGGTATTCTCCCGGGGCACTTGCTGCAAGGAAATCTGGATTCAATTTCACAATAAAGGCCACTAAAAATTATTGCCAGTGTCCAGCTGATTCCAACACTGTCAAATTCCAAATAGCATCGTCGACAAACAAATAGCACCTAGCAGAAGTAAAATTCAAATAAAATGGAACATAGAAGATTACCTGCTCGTACAAGTCCTCTAATTTATTCCTCGGAAGCTTTAACTGAGCCACCTGAGGCAATATGGCATCCCACCTCCCGCCATTGATATCAGCGACAAAAGTCTCGATGCTGTCCACTGTGTTCAGCGAAACTTGGCACTCGGTCTGCAGAGTCTGGAAAGTCTGGTGTAGCGAGTTCTCTTTGCAGAATTGAAGTACAATCTTGATCACACTGGAATTTGGAGAGGAAGAAGTTAAATCAACAGCGTAAGGAATTGTGAATGCGACCGAGTCGCGAACCAGTGAATGCCAGTTGTCGACAAAGATGGCACTTACTCTCGAGCTTCGATTTCCAGAGTCATCTTGGGATTGAATCAAACGAGCTGGGGAAGAGGCAAGAGGTATTTTAGGGTTTAAGAAACCTTTGCCCAACCGAGATGAATCTCTTCAGAAGAGTAATTTCCAATCCAAATTACAGAAAGAGGCGTGGGAGGAGCTCGCTCTGCTTCCCTAACATGTTAGTTAGTGACCAATTTGGTCACTGAAATTTCTATATGTATCAGAATGAGCACTGAACTTGCTGTACAAAATTTAAATACTTGAGGCAACATAGTCTTTTTTTTTCAAAAAATACTTCGTATTAAACGAGATAATCAAGATACACTAGAGTCAGCTGGCCAACCAGAGCCAGGAACGAAAATCGAACCCTATCAAACTAGAGAACAATGAAAGGACTTTTCTGACCACCAAATAGGCCACCCTATTACGAGCACGATCAACAAAATAGACACTAGACTGGAGAAAACATTGCCTCAACACCTTGATCTCACTCAAGATAGCTCCACCACGAGCGTCTAAACATACGTTTTGAGACTACTATGATACATATAGACAACATTTGGTGATAAATTGCTAACATCAATTTGTTCAATCAATATAACATTTCATACTTTTCTCATAGCGTTGACCATAATTAATGTTGATTTTCAATGAGAGTGGCGCGTTTGTAATGTTTAAAAATTATAGGGGATTACGCATGTGGTGATGCTCATTTATTACGCGTCTCGTCTTTAGCTGGCAACAACCACAAGTATCATAAAGTAGATCAGATATTACACACTAGAAACACGACAACGCATATCACACAAAAAAAAACATAAAGCATACCCGAAAAGCTCGTAAAGCATTGATTCGGGCATAATTGTACGCATTTTATCCCCATTTTCCTTGGACGTTTGTGACATTTGTGCTCCAAAAAGGGTGGTTTTACGCTAGGTTTCTTGTCTTTTAGCGTGTTTCAGGATCTAATAGGTGAAACCAGCCCCGGAGTCGAAAGTTGGAAGAAAAGGAGCAAAGAGGAGGAAACAGCCTCTGTTCAAGGTTTCCATTGGAGTTCACGGTCTTACAGGACCGTGAACTGGAGCCAAAATCTGTGAACCGCGAAGCGTCCAGGGCGAATCCAGAGGTTACTGACGTCGAGTGAGTTCACGGTCGCTAAGACCGTGAACTCTAAGCACAAACCGTGAATTGTGGATGTGAAGCTGTGCGTTTTGGTCTCAGCACTAAGTTCACGGACGCGTTTCCCTAGCCTATCATTGTCACCCTTAGCCGAAAGGTTAGGTGAGTTAGCTTCCTAACTTGTTGCAACGACTCTCAATAAGCTAACTAGAGAGAGTTAGGAATCTCATCGGTAGATCGATAAAGAGGGATAGACTCTCTAGCTATGAATCACAATCCTTGACTTAACGGTTAAGAGAGCTAGTTCCCTAGCGTAATTTTGTTGATTTCCCTTCATTGATCGACTAAGGGAGTTTGTCCCTAGCTAGTTGCATCCATCTAGCGGTGTATGAACACGTCTTTCACACTAGAGTTTTGTTTGTCGCTTCTTAGCACGAGACTAGGGGGAGCAATACTCGGGTGAAGCTCTCTCAAGTAGAATTCTCCTCCATTTACTTTCCTTGCTTGTTTAGTTTGTAGTTTTCTTAGTTTTAAAACCCAAAACCGTTTTGCTAGATAACAACTTAAGCGATTGAATTACGGGTACATGCACCGGCCCGGGTTGACAATTTAAATACTTTCCCTATTGACACGCCAAAACACAACACCAAACTGCGACCAAGTGTAATCGCAGTCCGGGAATGCAGTAACAGGCAAGTTCTATTATCAACCCGGGGTCTAGATTTACTGCTTACTCCGTGATTGTCTATTATCTAACCAACTAATTCGATTGATTGTTGTTTAAAGCAAAAGTAGTAAGAAAGCAGGAAATGGTTCTGTTTTCAAAAGCAGGAAAGAGTCACTCGGGAATGAGTCCCCCTAGCCCCTTAGTTAGGTTCAATTGTAATTCCCCTGGGTTGATTCACTGTTGATTAGACTGCGGAAGATCCGACAGTAGCTTGGAATCTCTTAAGCTGACCAAGCCCTCTCAGTCTAGCTACCCGGCAGACGACTAGTCTTCACTGGGATAGAAAGCTGAGGCTATGAACACAGAACTCCAATACTGGAATTGAATTCCAGTACAAAGCAGTAAACTGTCTAACTCTCGTATAACCAATCTCCTACTATCGAATGAAGAGGCTCTAACAACCTAATCAGATTCTATCTATCTCAGGTTGCAGCAGAAATCGAGAAAAGCTGATCAGACTTCAATCAATACAATAAACATGCATCATTCGATTAAAATCAAACAGTAAAATCATCCCAAGTCATTACAATCAAATCCCTAACACAAGGAACTGGGATTCTTCATACCCAAGTGAGAGGAAGGTTCTACTCCATAGAGAGAGAGAGAAGAAAACAGTAATCGGAGTAGTCATACTCATAATGATGAGGAAAATCTGCTCCGGGATGATGATTTCCACTCCTATGACGATCTCCAAGCTCAATTCGACGAAACCCAGCTCCAAGATAGCTTCTAGGATGTGTTCTTCGTACTTTCTCTCTCTAGGGCTCTGTTTTTGCTCTCAAAATCCGATTCTCCCACTTTTTGCTCGAAATTGGCTGAAAAACCAGAATTTCCCGACTCACACGGGCAGGCCACACGGCCGTGTGGCTCACCCATTCGCGCGTGTGAGTCAAAACGCGCCGGATCAATTAGGTCGATCTTCAGCCATCCCACACGGCCAGGGTCGCACGGCCGTGTGGATTTCCTGCTCTGCCCGTGTTTGCTCTCGGCGAAAGTCACACGGCCACAAATGCACTTTGCACGGCCGTGTGATACCCAGGACTGCCCGTGTGGCTTCCTTAGAACCTCGCCATGCGTCCGATCTTCGTCCAATCGACCCCAAACTCGCTCCCAAGCCTTCACTCACGTACTAGGACCTGAAATATCACAAACAAGCACAACCTAGCGTGAAATCGGCCTAAAACACGAGAATCAACACCTCAAACGGTGTAAGAACAGGGGTAAAAACATGTGTAAATAACGGTCTATCAAACTCGCCCACACTTAACCGTTTGCTTGTCCCCAAGCAAACCAAGTCAGACACCAGGTAAGCTTACATATTTCAATCAACCAACATTGGGGACAAGTCATAAAGGCACAGAACACGTGAATCGTACTGGTTTTCAAGCATCAACACATGAACAACGTCAAAAGCAACCTGGACAACCACCACAAAGGACATTCGAGTGCAGCAAAATCGAGTAAAGGAAGAGTCTCCCTTCTGTTCACCAGCCAACCTAGACTTGACTCAACCACTTACTCAAAACAGTTAACTCATGCATCCAACTCACGACATCAGAATAGAGACCAAGCAATCTAGGTCCTCACCGGGGTATAAGAGTATATAGAATATGAAAATGAATCACTCACTCTCGACCAGTGGGGTCAGGACAATTTGATGCGAAAAATGCGCATGCTATTTCTCTCAATCCCTAACATCTCTTCACCATGATGGCAGCTTCTAAATGCTAGAGTTCACATATGGGGTGTCACCACTAACTAATCAGGAGGTCTTAGACACAGGTTCAAATGACTGGCTAGGGTCTTGGACATGGGGAAAAGGCCTTTTAAGTGGTGGAAGTATTCATAGCACAAGGTTCCACATTTCCAAACCCACACAATCACAGTCAAACAAACCGGTATTTCCTTTCTGCTATTCTGCATTACTCAATATCTCAAGAGCACAAAAGCGAAGGAGGTACAAAAGTCAGCATTTCCAAGCCAGACTGCTCAGAAACACTACTTACTGGGCATTATTCAGATTTTTGGTAGTGGCTCTCTTTTGCTTTCAATTTTTTCTTTGGTTTTCTTTCATTTTCTTTTCATTTCTTAAGAGAGCCACTACTTCTGCACATATTTCAAACACCTGCCCAACTTTTAAGCACTACCTCCAACCCTCACATCAAATTTAGCAGAAACAACAGAGAATATGTAAAAATCACTCTGTGCAACCTTCTAAAAGATGCAACAAGGGTGATTTTTTTCATTATAAACCAAAAGAAAGAATAACACACGGCTCAAAGGGGCTGACTAGGGGATATGACACATCAGGACAGTCAATTTTGGTCGTGGGCTAATCCTATGCCCCCATCATCTTAGCTAGTGACAACGTGAATGCCACACATCATGGAAGAGGGATCTATCGCACAAGAAAGAAACGAGCAGGCTCAAATCTCACATGGCTACCTATATGCTCTATCTCACATTCTGATACCCTGAACTAGATGCATAAACGACTGTCAAGAACAAGTAATAAATCCAAGTCACAGTTGGCAAGCAAACAGTTGAAAGAACTAAACCCCTACACCATTCTACTGCAGGTCTCAGTCCTCATCATAGGTTGTCCTAGTCACAATCAAGCTGTCATGCATCAATCCAAAAACCATTCAATTCATCAATCAAAACACAGTGCCAATATGATCAAACAGCAGTACTTGGAGCCCCCAAATCGTACGATTCGGACAGCGGACTAGGCTCCAAGCACACAGATATATATTCCAACCGATACAAAGCACCCCCCCACACTTAAGCACGACATTTCCCTCAATGGAGTAGAGGGAGAGATAAGGGGAACGATGTTACCGGAGTGAAACACTACTGGGGGACTGTAAGTGGACCATTCAGCGAGAAACAGACGGGAAGATGGACAGTTCTGCACGAATCGAACACCAAGAACACACTAGCACACTGTGCGTTAGGGATAAGTGTTAGCCCAGACGGCTACAACATAAACAAACCACAAAAGAGAAAGAAAAAACAAACACAACCGACACTAAGTTCAAGCTCCTCACACATGGAGCAAACACACAAAAGTCGAAAACGAAAAACAAAACACACTGAGATGGGCAACGAGTACAGCCTACTCGTCGCCAAGATCATCCAAGTTGATGTCGGCCATGAAGGCGTCATCACCAGCAGCTCCATCAGCACCATCATCACCGTCAGCTGGGGGATGTGGAAGTGGAGAGTCCTCCTAGGAAGTCCTCCAGACGGGCTGCTCGCCCGGGAGCAGCTGGAGCAGGTGCTGCTGGACCTCCCACATGCGCCGTGAACGGCGCTTCTCCCGCTCGATGTGTGCGAGAGTCACTCCCTGCTGTGTCTGGAGCATGTCCAGGCGCTCATCATAAGCAGCCATCCTG